TTTAAATTATATTAAGCCTTAAAATTCTGCATAATTAAGGGCGTGACCACTTGAGTGACAGGAGGATTGACATTGCTGTCTCTATCAGCCGCTGAACTTGGCATCTCTGCCATGTTTCTGCTTTTGTTTTATTCAGTCTATGGGTTATTTTCGTGATTATTTCTTAAAATTATCAAATAAAATGTCTTGTTGTGCGGTTAATTGTACTAACAGACCGTCCAAGTCTGGGATCCATTTTTTCCGGTAAGTGATATTGTAATGTAATTTTATTTATTAATTTATTTATTCTTTATAATTTTATTCAAAACTCTGCTACACTCCAGAATCCGACAGACTATGATTTAGCTGTAACGTTAGGCCTGTAATTAACGTTACTCGTTAAGCGTTTTCCTCCCATAGAAAACCGTTAGGCTATAAGAAACGTTAAAGACTCTTAACGTGGCTTAATGAATTAAAACCGATTAAAACTGTTTTTAAAAGACGAAACTCAGTGAGAACATGATTAATAAATCATACTATGTACAGACAAGCACTGTTTTAATGCATTAAGCCATGTAAGCGTTTTCCTTATAACGGTTTTCTATGGGAGGAAAACGCTAAACGCGCGTTGCGTTCTTATCCTGGACTCATCTGCTTGTCTGTACATAAGTATGATTTGTTAATAACGTGTTTTCTGAGTTTGGTCTTTGAAAAACACTGTCTTAATGCATTAAGCCAAATTAAGTGTTTTAAAATGTCCCGAACAGAATGAGGACTGTGCAAAGTAGTCTGTGAAAAAGGTAACTATCTATTTGTCTGTGTAAAGTTTTCCTCTAGGTGATCCAGACGCTCTCAGACTAGACCAGTGGATGCTCAACGTGAAATGACAGAATTGGACTCCTAAAAAGGCTTCTCGTCTGTGCAGTGAACACTTTGAGCACCTCAGCGCCACCCACGTCCCGCCTCTTTGCCCATTTTCGATTATCCGGGAGTGACGCGCGGTGACGCGCTGCCAAGATGGCGACGGCCGCCTCCGCCTCAAACACCTTATAGAAGTGATTTTTGCATTCTATGGCACCTTTAAGCTCCATAAAACAGATAAAAACATTACTTCAGAAATTGAATATATGAATATTATATATACAAATAATTTTTAGATTATTATATCTCGAAAACCCATTTAAATCTACTCACCATCCACGAGTAACGTAACAAAAAATAAAACAAACGTCTTCATATTTCTGTACAAGATCAGTAAAAGTTGTCCATTGTAGTTGTCAAACCGTTCCGTTGAGTCTCAAAGCGTTCGATCAGTTTGTCCAATCAGTTTCTAAACCGCGGGGAGACAGCGACGATCCTAAACATAATTTTGTAATATGTGTCACGGACTTCAGCTCAGTAGGTCGCGTTTATACGAGTGAAACACGAAATGTTCTTGGAAAATCAGTAGGCTAAATCCGATCAAAATAAGGAAGTAAATACATTGAACCTTTAAAGTGGGATCTGTCATGGAGAACATATCTGATCTGCAGCGCCAGAAAATCCCACACCGGAGTTGTGCAATATTTAGTTCCTGTGAAAAACTGCTGGAGTGGGTGGAGTTTATGTGAATAGTAGTGATGGGAAGTTCGGATCATTTTACCGACTCGGACCTTTGAGTCTCGTTCATCAAAACGAACGAATCTTTTTTCGAGTCATTTCGTTCATTTTAGCAAAATATAATTAAAATGTTACGTGTTACTTCCCTAATACGTCTACTATTTACGCAAACGTTGATCACACTACAAACAATACAAAACTGCTATAAGAAACAGAAAAGATTAATTAATTGTTTACCTGGGTC